GATTTAAGTTTTATTGAGTTTTCTAATCTTAAATCTCTGGTTAAAGATTCAGTTTTGTTTTTCGGATGAACAGCAAATTTTTTGTTCGGATGAACAGTAGCGAAATTTTTTCGGATGAACAGTAAAGTTTTTGTTCGGATGAACAGTAACGAAAATTTTTCGAATGAACGGTAACTGAAAAATCGCTGGTGAACAGTAACTTTTTGGAATTTTTTGGTTTTTTCGGCGGTTTCTTTTTCTTGGATCTGGATCAAGAAAACTCATTTTTTCGATTCTAGATCTGTTTTTTGATTTAATGGCGGCGGTTTCAGTTTGAAACCCTAAGGGTTCGTGCGTGAAAACGTGGCGAATATTAATGAGGTGGTTACCACAAATTTTGGCGAAGCGGTACGCTTCAAACGAACCTCGCGTTCGTTCAATTTTAACCGATCTTCGCGTTCAAACGAACTTCGCGTTCGTTCTCAAGTGAGCCTCGCGCTCAACGAACTTCGCGTTCGTTCTCAAGTGAGCCTCGCGCTCAGTATTTAAGTCGAACCTCGCGTTCATGCTTCAGTCGAACCTCGTGTTCGTGCTTCAGTCGAACCTCGCGTTCGTGCTTCAGTCGAACCTCGCGTTCGTGCTTCAGTCGAACCTCACGTTCGTGCTTCAGTCGAACGCGAGGTTCGACCTCGCGTTCGTGCTTCAGTCGAACGCGAGGTTCGACCTCGCGTTCGTACTTCAGTCGAACCTCGCGTTCATCTTTTTTAACGAACCTCGCGTTCGTTCTCAAGTCAGTTCAACCTCCCGTTCATTTTTCAAACGAACCTCGCGTTCGTTCTCAAACGAACCTCGCGTTCGTGCTTAAGTGAGTCTTGTACTCAATACAGTCGAACCTCGCGTTCGAAGTCAAGCGAACTTCGTGTTCACTATGGTTAAGCCTAGCTTTTCATGGTCCACTTTGGTATACTTAATTTATTCAATTAAGTTATGGCCCCTAATTAAGCTGTGAGACCCTAATTAAGTTTTTTGAAATTTAGTTTATTTAAATTAAAACCTTTTAATTTAAATCTAATTTGGTTTTTAATCAATTATTTAATTCAAATATTATGACACTAAGGAATTAAGGTTGTCTCTCACTCCAATTGATTAATTGAAAGAAGAAGTTGCCAAAGCTAACCTCTCTTGTGTAGATTGTTCATGAGGAATGTGAGATGTTTGTGTGTATGCCTTTCGTGTAAATAATTTAATCGGCCCAAAGGAATGTTAATATTTATTTAGACTGTATACACATCTGCGATGATACACGTGTGACAATTATAATGTTTACATGTGAATAATGAATCGATTCAAAGATAGTTTCATTATTTGACATGAGTTATTGTCAATGTTTGATTATTGCAACAAGTATCACTTACAAGTTAATATTACTGTCAAAGACTTGTGTATCGTGTAAAGTTTGATCTCCGAAAACAGGCAACTTCGTTTGTATTGATAAAGAGCTTATTAACAACTAATAAATCAAATGTTTACAACAGAAGCGGAGGGAATGCCCTCCTTGTTTAACGTGGTCCTCGATGGCGATAGGGACGCTCGCTCGCGTGCTCGTGCCGAGTCTGCTTCCCTTGGACGATCCATCGAAGTTGCTGCCGAGCTTCTGCCTCTAATGAGGGGAGCCTTTGGCAAAGGTCCAGGTTCAACCTTTGGGAGATTAGCCAGCAGAATATGCAACAGCCAATCCCTTTTTCATGCTGGCTGAAGATGGGTTTTAACAGGCAAGGATGACATGGCCATCCATTGATTCATGGGATTTGACCACGTGGAGGGAGACAGCTTGACTGCTCCTTGAATTATGGGGATGTGACCACACGTCGTTCAGAAGTATCCTACTGTTCACCTGCAACAGGAGCGGTCATTCGAGGAGCCATGTTTTACATCACGTCACTTAGGAATGGGAAGCCCCTCCTCGCTATGCGTGACAGCGGCTCTCAGATTACTCGAGTGGATATGGCCAACTCACTGAGCGCCGGCGGCCCTCCCTTCTGCTTGGGACAAGTGAGGTAGCTGAATTTATGAGGGTGCAGGCTGTTTCGGCGCTGTCCGCTCATTCGTACTGTGGACGGCCATCTGACGGAGCCATGGAGTATTTGTGTGTTGGACCCTAGAGGGGGGTGATTAGGGTCAAAAGGCTCTAATATGCAGATTAAAACACACAACAAACAATTCACAGTAAATAGATGCAAACAAGTAAATAAGAGAGGGTTAGGAATCGTTATCCTTGACGCGCGATGTGTTAACGAGGTTCGGCCCTCTGGCCTACGTCCCCGCTCCCTACTCTCGAGGAAGAAATCACTACACAGCCGCTTTTGGAAGCCGGAACTTCGTCTACACAGCGATCCCACACGATCTCTCTCACTACACAGTTTGATCTCAACAGATCACTCCCTCACAGTAGATCTTACTCAAGATCTCAACTACACAGCACAAGATAACAGATGTAGAACTCTCTCTTACAAAGCTCCTATGGCCAAAGAGAACAAATTTCTGAAGCTGGGAGGTGAGCTCACACAAAACCACAGAGAAGAAAGCAGGACTGATTTGAAAATTTTCTCAGCAGAAACAGAAAATACTCTCTCTGGTTTTTCAAACGTTTGCTCAAGGAAGAAGAAGAAGCCAGCTGTAGGTTTTTATAGCAATAGATTAAAACAATTTTAAAACCAAACACCAATCTTCCTATTTAGGAAGATAATCCCTTTACA